GACAAGAAGCTTACACAGAATTCTCAGTTTCGGTTATGAGTTATCCTGATTATTCTGCATGGAACTGGACACGAGGTACTGGCATTGAAACTTGTTACCACAACACGCTCCTCCACAGAAGCGAACTCATCTGGATTGATCTCGGCAAACTCCTCCAGGCATCCATGGGTGGCACACCGAAGACCCTGGCAGTGCAACGAGGAGTAGGGCGACACCACTCGGCTCACTAGGCGGCTAGGCCTCCATGTCGAGGAGCCCTTGCTGAAACAGCTCCAGGGCAGCACCTGAGAAGACTATCTGCCAGGCCCTTCAAGAAGCCGCGGTCTCCGCACCTGCATATGTGTCGAAGACGCGAATGCCGCGCAGTCGGAGGTCCGCCCGGCGCTGCTGGGAGCTCTTGGGCACCACACCATCGGACCTGCAAAAAGAAGCGGAAACCGAAAGATGGAAGCTGTGTTGATCCCCTTGCTTCGGGCCTAACCACGTCGTGAATCAGCGCTGCTCGTCGCGCAGGTCCACCAGCCTGGCCCATAAACTCCTCCGCAAAGTCCACGTCCCCTTCACCACTGTCCCCGATGAAGACAAAGCGAGCTTCAGGATGTAAAGTTGCGAATTGCCCGAAAACCTCCGTCTTGCGCTCTGCCATCGCTTGTCGAGCTTGTTCCGGCGCGAAGAGAACCTGGGCGACGGCCTTCAAAGATCCGGGCAGCACAACCGCCTCTGCGATGCCAATGTCATCGACCAGAAGCCGCCTGCGAAAAGACTGAAAGCATCACAGAGCCTCGCAAGGTAAAGCCGCAAAGCTCTCCGCCTCGTCTGGCCCTCCCAAATCGGTGGTCTTGCCGAGAGGAACGTCACGCGGCCACCCAAAGCGGTGAAGAGCGGAAGAGCGCCGGGGACGGGACCCGCCGGAAACTTCGGTCCACCTGCGACAAGTTATGCACAGTCGGTGCGCGCGGATCGCACGGTCGGGCCTGCTCCGAAGGTCCCAACCCAGACCGTCATGTCAATGTCAGACAGAATGTGCACCGGCAGCTGATGCGGCTGCAGCTCCCCAGCTTGGTCCACAAAGTGCTGAAGCAACGACTCTCGTCTGACCTGCAAAATCTGCAAATGTAAACAGAACCGGACAGACCAGTCGTGGGAGATGAGAGACTGTTGCACCTGATCAGAAATGATCGAGTAGATGAGGTGACGGAGATCGCGACCGCCACCAGCAGCATCGACTGGTCCAAACACAAAGGGATTGGGAGAGACGGCGGCTCGCCCCTCGCGCAGTCGAGCCATGTCCCTGCAAGGCCCTTGAGGGCCTGGCCTAGACGTTTCAGCTCCAGGAGCTCCTTTTGTGGCCCGGCCCGGACTCAGCTCATGGCGCTTCCCCGCTCTCTCGCCCTGCCCCCGTCCTTGCTTTCGCTGCGGAGGATGAGTTTGCACAGGACCGCCTCGCGAACCGGAGCGCGAGATCAAAGCGCGCTCGCAGAGCTTCAAGGTCGGCCTCTTGCACCGCGAGCTGCTCTGCGAACTCGACATCCGAGACCTCCTGGCTGGGACCGATACCGGAGCCTCTGGCAGTGCCACTTGGCGACGGGGCGCAGCGCTACTCTCCTTCGGCTCTCGACCGATTAAGCCGAGTAACGAGGCACCGAGAGCTTCTCCACCAGAGCACCTGGCAACGATACCCGCTGCCTGCTGAGCCTTCTTGACCCTCGCTGGATGCAAACGTGACTGCATGTGACGTCGGCCTATCAGACGGCTGCTGGCCAACGGTGAGAGGCTCTGCGACTGAAGATGCTCAGATAGAACACGGAGTAGTGACTGGCTGCCTTCCACAATCTTCCACAAGTCTAAGTCACCGTGACACGGACAATTCTTGAAGCTGCAAAGCGTAGACACAAGCCACCCGCCCCGGCCTGAGAAGGAAGATGCCTCGTCGTCAGACAGGACCAAAGACCTCCAGTAGGTAACTTCACGCCCTGGCCTTAAAGGCGATGCATACCTCATGCTGTCGTGGCACAAAGGCGTCTGCAGGAGCAGCTCATTCACGAGGTTCCGGTCCGCGGCCGCTAGCTTTGTCTGGAGGTCTCTCTTCGCCCTTTGGACTCCCGCCGGAGTCGCCAAGTCCTGCCTGGACCAAAAGCACAACGCCTCTTCGAACTCTGCAAAGTCGGAGGGCTCCGACTCCGACGGCTCCGAGGCGAAACCACGAACCTCGGACCAGCGAACGGAGAGGCTGGCGTAGCCCCCACCCAAAAGCCGGAACGTCCCGGCGCCGCGTGCTTGGCTCAGAGGTATCCGCGCTTCTCCGGCCATTCTATCACCCCTCAGGCCGCCCGCGTCCATGACTCGAACGGAGAGCTCGATCTCTGGGGCCGGGTTTGCAGAGGCGTCTTTGCAGAAGTCCACGCGAGAAGGCGAGACGTAGGCCTTGGGCAGCTGCAGCTTGCAAAGAGCGTTCCAACGAGGATGCCTTTGGCGAAGTGCAGGCTGTGTATTGCACTCCGGCTTCTCGGAAGCTTTGGCCGCCCAAGGCTGCCCTCGATATCCGGTTGCAAGTGCACAGTAAGGCACTGGAAGCGACTTGGAGCCCATTGACAAATCCGCAGCTGCAAGCACCTCAACCTGCACAGTTGATCCATCTGAGACGACCTCCGTGAAGTAGCCAGCACTAGCCTGCGGCAGGGGGCTGAAACTGCCGACAAAGTTATGCTACTATTTAGTATTCAGTCCCTGTGTTTCGCTCCTGTTCGCCGTGCTTGGCTGTGTGACGGAGAAGAACCATCGCATCCTGAGCTAGTACAACTTGTGCACGATATGCAGACCTCCCTTCACCACATTGCAAGCAGAACGACTCGTGTCTCTTGGGCGACTCGTCGAACCTCGCGCCCTGCACTTGCCTCCAGTGAAGCAGCTGCGGTGACATGTGCGCGACAGAAAACAGGTCAACGCTTGGCCGAGGCACAAGGTCCGACAAGACCCTCCCGAAGCGGTTGGAGCTCGAAGATGCGTCGGGTCCGCCTCCAGCCTCTCGGAAAGACGACAAGCATGACTTTTGGCTGACACCGCATGAAACGAAGCTTTAAATTCATTCTTTAAGAGATGCCTCTGGCATGCGGAACCACGACATCGCAAGCCAGTGCAACGACACGGTGAGAAATAGAAAGTTGCAGATGCTCATGCACGTGATGTACACTCATGTGCAGGAATCTTCTGGACAAGGCTACAACTTTGGCAAGCTGAGGCTACGATAGGCCGTGAACCAATACAGATGATATGGACATGACGGCATGAAAGATCGAGATATGTCTCTTGAGAGAATCACTGGCAGAAAGAACAGCAGCAACAATGTGCACTTCAAACTTGCCGGCTGACGAAAAAACAACCTCCCAGCACTGACTTCATGGACGGGCTGTCTAAGGGTCTATCGCTGCTGTCGAATTCACTTGATGGAAGATCGCTGTTGTCTTGAGGGGCTGCCGGTAGCTTAGGGTGGTCAACGGACGAAGTGTTCCAGGTCCTTGCATGCTTTCGGTTTTTCAAGTTGCAGAAAAGTTCAGGATTGCGGGGACTGCAGCATGCATTCTCTGTCGAGAATAAGGTTTCGGGCTTATCGGTCATCTCAATTTCGAAGGTTTTTTCTTGGGGATGTGCGGTTGTACAGTACCCTACGATGTTACCTGGAACAAGGCAAACGTACAGTTTGCCATCTGCCCCTCTGCGAGTTGTTCAACTCTTTTCTCCGTGTTCCACGACCCCGCAGCTGCCTCAGGCAGCTGCAGCTCGCCGCTGTAAAGACAACGAGTCCTTTTGGAAAAGCGCCCTGGAGGCTGACATTTTGAGGGGGTTAATCGGAGCGCACCAGTGCGCTGCACAGACCCGCCAAAGGATTCATTGAAAAGGTCGAATCATCTCTGGCCCCTCTGCTGACCAGTCGAGCTAAATGCAAAGCAGGGACCAGCGATGGCCAGCGAGATGCCGGAGGAGCTTTGTTCAGAAGATTCATTCTCCGCGTTCATCGAGGGTGAGCTGCAGCCAGCTCGAGCTACTTCAGAGAGAAACGAGACCTGGTTTCAGAACTCGCCGGACTTGCTTGAGTCCTGGATCCTGCAAGATCGCGTACTTGCAAAGACGTATCCCACGCGACGCCAGCATAGGCCGGCCTGAGTCTTGTCTTGGAGGCTCTTCACCTTGCTCTTGACAACCGTGTTCAGGTATCCACCTGAAAAAGGAGCCACAAGTCCATGTGTCTCCAGAGTCCCTTGTGATCACATCGTCCTGCCTTGGGCGCTAAGCTCTTCCACCATGGATTGAAAATAATCAGGGTCGCCATCGAACACCTAGTTGAAATTTGACGAAGCCACCCAAGAGGGGCATGCACAACCAAAACTGCCCGCCTTGTCCAGGACCGCCGCTAGACGTTTGCACTTGGACCGCTTAGACCTATCCCAAATCTCCGCAGCACGGACGGCCCAAATAGTTTCTCTTGCATAGCTGGGATTCCAGCTTGCAGGGTCTTGGCCTGAACTTTTTCGGATGTGGCAGGTGGCAGAAAGCACACCTCGGCCACAACAGAACCCCATCAGCATCCATCAGCTGCGATATGTACGAAGATGAAGAAGCGAAAGGAAACGAATGCATCACTCCGATGACTTTCCAACCGTGCAAGCGCCGCCGTGGTCTCGCGAGTCTCGAAGGATAAGCAGGGGTCCTTTCCCAGGCTCCCATTCTTCGGAAGTAAGGGAGCCTAAACCTTGAACCCCACCCCACCAAGCAGTGGCAATCTTCGCTCTCTGGCAGAAGTTCCACCATGTCCAGCCCTAGATCTGGGTTTGATCAGACTTTGCGGCCTAGAGCTTTGATTTTGGTGGGTCACATGACACCGACCATAGGCCGGGATCCGCACGTCTGACATCAAGCATGTCACCAAGCGATACGCGGTGGCGTGAATAATGTAGGGGCCTTAATAATTAGAATTGTGTTTCGGGGATTCCTTATGCTACTTATAGTTTAGTATACCCCAAAACCCTATTCTACTTAATAAAACCCCCACATTGCGCAAGGGTATTAGATTGTAGGATGAACATGGTGAGTCTCTGAAGATATTTCGAAAGGCTATGTTTTCTTCCCGTGTGAGGCAAGTTCAACGTTCGCCCGTGGCCCCACAGGAGCATGAGGTAGCCAGATAGTTTTGGATTCTAGCCGTACTGTAGTTCCTGAAGTCTTTCCGCAAATTTGAGATCGTATGTGAGCAAATTTAAACAAGTACCTTTGAGCGGGCAGGGCGGGGCCGCGCGGTGGGGGAATGGGGCCGACTCTGGGTTCCCACTCACACTCCCGCTCATACTTTTTCTTGTATTTTGCAGCAGAAATGTGAGCGGGACCCCATGAATTTGAATGTGAGCGGGAGTGCGAGGGGATCCAGAGTGTGAGCGGGACTGCGAGAGGAGTGTGAGTTCGGGGTTTGGAACCAAAAGGGGTTCGGGCCGGCCGCAAACCCGGCAGCCTGCATGCCTAGCTGCAATAGCCTCTGAAGTCTACAGTTCGGGTGGTTGTCCGCGGAGATTGGCCACCACATCCTCCCACTCGTCTCATGCCGCAATTTTTCGCTCACGCCTCTGCTCTCACTTCTCCCACATATCATGTAGGGATGAAGCACGATGGTGCTGTCATGTTCATATTTGAGCCCACACTTCCACTGTCATCGTGATCATAGTATATCACAGTTCATGTTGGCATGGTTCTCCCTGCGCAGACTCCCGCTCACACTTCTGCTCACACTTTTCTCAAACTTCACCTTGCGATGATTTTTGAGGCTCACACTTTCTCTCACACTCAAGCTCATACTTTCTCACACTGCACGTTTGCTTTAAGAATCGACAATCCCGATCCCCTGTTCACTCGCGAGGCGAAGTGGCGAAGCGTGTTTGGACGGACTTGCAGAAAGCTGGAGCACCACATGTACAGGCTTGCTGAGGGCCTTTCTTTGCACAACGCGTACCCCTTGCGCCAGAAAAACTCCAGACTTTCAGGCGACGAAGGGTGAGGCAGGAGCCAGGCAGCCGAGCATGCAAAGACTCCCTAAAGGGCCCTGCGGTCATCTGGGGAAATGGCGCTGCACCGTTCGTGCACCCGCTTTTCGCATAGACCTGCATTTGGGATCACTGCGTCGGAAAGACTTCAGGCCGGCTGGCGGAGCTGAGGGGCACACATAATGGCAAGGCCTACACTGCGCTTCACAGAGAGCCAAGAGAGTCAAAGGCCTAGCTTTCCGAGGCAGGGGCCTGCACGTGCCTAGCGCGTGGCTCTCAGGTTCGCCTGCACACATGCACTTTGCCTCAAGAGGGCCTCACGCCGTGCATCCATGGGACACCTGCCTTTGCCAGTGGCTGCGACGTCTGCATCGTCAGCCTCATCTTCGGCTTCGGAGTCCAGGTCCTGACGAAGCTGGCATCGCACGGTGCTGGGCGCCAGCATGCGCCAACCTTGTTTTCGAGAAGCTCGGCCAACTCCTCCACGTTTTGAATATCAGCATCCCAAGCAGTCCTGATAGAACACCCGAAACTTAGATGCAGGATGCCTCTTCTAGTAGCCCATGTAACCACAAAACGAACTGAGCTGCAAAGGTGCGGAGCCAGTTACAAAATGGACAGAACGGCTTTTTCATGCGACCAGCAACAACCGATCCACGTCACTCGTTACCCAGTCGCACAGCAACCCGCTTCAGGAGATCATTCAGTGGTGAACCAAGTGGATCCGTGCCACATTAGACTTCGCCCTATGGTCTACCTCAATGGGATGACAATACCATTGCCGTGCGTTTGCATACCCTTGCGAGAGCAGCTCCTGTTGGAGGGAGAAGTCTGCTTTGCCACTTCTTTGAGTTGCGCATAATACCTTTTGACATCCTCCTGGTTGGACAGTGAAGCACGCGGCAATTACATGCGAGCGGATGCTTCTGAGGCGAATTTGATTGATCCCACCTTGGCCCATGCAACTGGCATCATGCGCACGTTCTCGCGCACCTGAACGTTTGGAAATGCCAAAAGCCTGCGTATGGTCTGCACTCTCGGTTCCGAAAGCTGGCCTTCTTGCCATTCGGGTGGTGGCTGTCCGAGCTTTCGGTCAAGCTGGTCTCGGCGAACAGCGACGGGGGAAGCACTTGAGGCGCAGCATTCGTGAACTCCAAAACAGTGACAAGTGCATCCTTGTCGAAACCTTGAGCACTATGTCTCACGCTTCATAGTCCAAGCCTCAGAAACCCGTCCTTGATCCTCTGATTCAGCTCCAACATGCTGCAGGAGAGCTGTGGAACCGAACCGCGACCGGGAAACCGCGCCACAGGTTCATCGAAGGTTCTCGCTCATTTGCAAACCGTACCAAATTGAACAGTGGCCACCCTGCTGGCAAGACGCGGAGCTGGAAGGATCGAAGTCATGGAGCATGAGCGGCTGCGAGCTTGAGACCTCGCAAGTCCAGCACGCGAGTTTATACGCAGAAGTGCAGGTTCTCTGGCATTCCACCATCAACTTTGGAAGACTGCAACAACTTTGGACTTAGCTACAGACCGTGGCAGAAAAACTCTTTCCGAAGCTGCGCTTGCACAGCCAGTGTAGCCCGAAGAAGGCATGCAAACACAGAACCAAAAAGGTAGGATGCTATGCGTGCACGAGGCAACCGGCCGGGAGCTCCACAAATCCACAGAAAACCCCGGAATTTTTTTAGGCTCGCAGTAGCCCCAAGACATGGGGGTTCTCTGTGGCATGGCATGTGTCAGACTGTGAGGAGAGTTTGAGGACAAAGATAGCCGCCCCCAGGAATCCCGCGAGGGCTTGGACCTGTCGCTATCAACCGATGCAAGCACACTATCCGTGCTCATTGATGGATCTGTTGTGATCTGTCGTGTCGATTAAGTTTACAATGTCGCATGAAAGAGAAAAGCCTTGCTGTGAAGGCGTCGTGAGGCGAGAAGACGTTTCGGCGCTTGTGAAGCAAACTCCCGGAAGGCAACGCCGGCTCAAGCTTCATGCGCAAGCGAAACCAGCACAGGTTGTTCGGCTTGAGTCTACAAAAGCCTCGATCTCTCCGCTGACATCTTCACATGTGCATGGTATCTGGTAGACTCGTAGAATCAGCACCTATCATGCCAAAACGCCGAACGCATCCGAACGCTGTCTGCTGACGACCCAGGCTCCCGACCCACGGCTCCGTTTGTCGACTCCTGAACAACACGGGCAATGCAGCAGGGGCCTTTCACACTGCGTTAACAACCGTGATTGATGTATAGTCGAATGTGAGAAGTATGCTGCCATAATCAGAAACTTAGACCCCGAGGACAAGTCTGCGATTTTTCCTGCCCGTCCTGGCAGCCGACGCAACGACCTCCTGAGGCATCCTTGCAAGCAACACAAACCGAAGAATGAAGAATGCAAGAAGGCTTGCAGCCGGTCGCCTGGCCTGTGACCCTCTGTGCACTCATACGGGCTGAAATGGTCCAAATCGTCGCCCTTAGCTGTAGCCCCGGTACTCGCACTGCGTATCCCTGGGTGCCAACAACTCCGAAAAGGCATGCACGGCACAGCATTGTACAACACGGCGTGATGCCGCCCTGCTTGATCTTCTCTGAGCACCCTTGCCGGGGTCAACGCGCGTTTCGGGTCCGGCATTTTGTGTCCGGGGAGCTGCATTTCAGGCCCGCCGTTCGGAACCGCATGGATGCGATTCAGCCTCTTCAAGAGGAAGATTCGGGTCCGGCCACGCGAAGTCTGTAATTTGAGGGTTTGACCTGCCAGGTGCAGGGTTGCGATGGTGAGATTGACAAGAAAAGGCTTGCAGATGTCAAGGTTACCAAGCTTAGAAAGAGTTGCGTAGCTCAGCCAGCAGATGAAAAGGTGTAACCCTAAACCTTAAACCCTGAACCCAACCCAAAACCCCAAACCCTAAATCCTGGCCCAACCCTAAAATCCTAGGCAACACCCTAAGCATCCCTAAGCCCTAAACCCAACAAAATACCTTAAACCTTAAACCCTGAATATGCGTACCCTGAACGCCCCAAAACATCCCAAAACCCTACTGTAAATCCTGAGCCCCGAACCCAAACCCTAAACTCAAAACCCCAAGAACAGGATAAATAGAAATTGTGAATTCCGCTTCGAGCTGCATCTTCATTAGCTTCGAATTTTCATTGCACGTGTGTCAGGAAACCCCTGTCCCAGCGCAGCCCAGCCCCGCCCAGCCCAGGCCCACCTCCAGCCGCCAGCCCAGCACAGCCCGCCCATCCGCCAGACCAGCGCAGCGCAATGCGAAATCAACAGCAATCAAAACGTTTCGGCCAAAACTTTCGCTCAAAACCCTCTACACCCCAAACCCGAACCACAAACCCCTAATCCAAAAAGAAACTTGTGCCCAAAAGCCCTAAGCCCTGAGGCCCAAACCCAAACTACAAGCCCTAAACCACAAACCTTGAACCCTAAACCTTAAAGCCCTAGTCCAACCGATTGCTACCGCCCAAAAACCCTCAACCCTAAATTTAAACCTTAATCCCAAAAAAAAACACCCCTAAACCCTCATCCCCGAACCCTAAACCCTAAGATCGCTTATGCACGAAAATCCTAAACCAGGAGGCCCCAATCCAAACGACAAACCCTAAACCACAAAACTTAACGCCCTAATCCAACCACTAAACCCTCAGATCTGACGCCCAAAAAAACCTCAACCCTAAATTTGAACCTTAATCACCCAAAAGAAACCTACGCTAAATAAACCCTCAACCCCAAACCCTAAACCCCGAGGTCGCTGATGCCCAAAGACCCTAATGCCTGAGTCCCAAGCCCATACCCTAAACCCTTAACCCAAAAACCCCAAACCCTAAACCCTGAACCTTGAAGCCCTAATCCAACCTAAGCCCTCGGATCTTTAATCCCAAACCAAACCCTCAACCCCAAACCCCAAACCCTGAGGTCGCTGATATCCAAAGACCCTAAGCTGCTTAAGCTCTGAGGCCCAAACCCAAACCCCAAACCCAAACCCACAAACCTTAAACCCTAAACCCTGAGGTCGCTGATGCCCAAAAACCCTAAGCCCGAGGCCCAAACCCAAACCCCAAACCCAAAACCACCAACCTTAAACCTAAGCCTTCGGATTGCAAACGCCCAAAGACCCTCAACCCTAAATTTAAACCTTAATCCCAAAAACAACCCAACCCTAAACCCTCAACCCCAAACCCTCAACCTTGAGGCCGCTGATGCCCAGAAACCCAAGCCCTGAGGCCCAAACCGCAAACCCCAAACCCCAAACCCTAAAGACCTGATTCAACCCTAAGCCCTCCGATGGCTAATGCCTAAAAATCCTCAACCCTAAAAACCCTAATCCGAAAAAAAACAAACAAACCCTAAAACGTCAACCCTGAGATCGCTGATGCCCAAAAACCCTAGACCCAAAACCCAAAAAAACTCACCAGCGCGACTGACATGCACCAGGCTTGCGTCAGAATTAGCCCTGACATGGTGTTGAATTTGCACTCGCCCTCGGCCGGAAATCAACCTGAAATGCCCGCCCCGCATCTGAAACATACCCGTGCCACAGAGGACCCGGCCGAACTGGAGCTCTCAAGTTCAGGTCTTCCCCAGACCAGGTGTCGCGCATCTGCACGCATCTCTTTCACTGAATCCCAAGCAAAGTGGCCAGGGTTTCCGCCTGGCTCCTGCTCTGCACTGGCCTGCACAGACTGCTGCGATTCCTAGGAATCTCCTGGATCCAATTGCAGGCCTGGCCTTCCTCATTCCTGGCTCGGCAAGACCGAGGACGCCGCTTCCGCGACATGCACGACATCCAAAAATCAAACACAAAGTTTCTCAGAGATGCAGTAGATGTCATCGAAAAAACATTCTGTAAAGTTGCTGCGATCAGCTTGTGAATCCACTTTCGTGAACATCATAGAAAATGTCAAGAAAAAGTGTTCCGCTCCCTCGCGGCTGCAGCTCGTTGCCCGAAGTCGGAGCCCGCTGTCACAGTCAGCAGAGTCACATTCTTTTTCCGTGCGGATCGCGGCCGGCGCTCAGCGCGGCTCAGACGCTGCTTTGCGCCGCCGTGGCGGGCCCGGGATCGAAGCCCAGCTCCTGGCAGCTCCTCGGAGAGCAGCGGAGAGGAAGGGAGGAAGCTGCACTGAGCCGGCGGAAGCAGGCGGGTGCTGTCTGGGCACCCGGGCCGCACCTCCTGTCGCACTCCCTGCTCCTGTCCACACGGTGTGCTGCGCTCTGCGGGCAGAGCTCAGCGATGCTCAGCGGAGTGGGATGGAAAAGAAGGCGCGCAACCCGCACTCCCAGAGAGGCCTTCACTTGCTGGATGCGATCCCAGAGTGCCCGAGAACCTGCCGGTGCCGAGGTCTGCTAGAGATTCACCAAGATGCAGATTGTCTCATTGACAGCTCTTTTTTTGTGCCGCGCAATGACGGATTTCAGAGGCCCTCCACTTGGTTCAGAAGGATCAAGCAGCTCCAAGTCCCAGCCTACACTTGCTGGTCGTTGAACCAACAAATTGCAGGGATGTCTGTTTCAAGGGATCCTCTGAACTGCTATCCTGCTCGAGAAACCGACTGGAATTTTCTCCAACCTTTGGTTCTGTACTGGGTTCACGCTCACCCTGTCGTACATGCGAGGGTTCCCAAACGCGTGGCTGGAATAAAACCACTGTGATAGCGCCTTCTGCACTTGGACGAGGTGCAAGCGCTGCACCTGGATTGAAAGGCGCGAGCAGGATACCGTCAACAAGGTTGTCCGCTACGCGAAAAGAGCCGCACCTATGTCAACAGATCCGCGAAGCGGAAAAAGCAAGCGGAGCCACCACCTGTCTCGTCAACAAATCTTATGAATCTGCAGCATGCATCCGAAGCGAGCCACAGGATGCCAAAAGTCGAAGTTACATCAACTATTGTACTGTGCTGTACTTGATCAACCACGACACTAAGCACAACAAAAGAGGCAGAGGGCAGAGGGTGCTCATCTCGACAATTTCCAGTTTCCCGTCGCCGTCGCCAGGTTCCAGTTGGAACAGGAACGACGGCAGACACAAGCACCGCCTCAGATCGCTCTCCATTGCCTGCCCGTTAGCCCGTGGAACCTTCCGTTTACACCCTCTGGGTCGCCTCAGCAGCTCGTTTGCCGCACCGTTCCGCTTGCCCTGTGCATCCCCGCGCTTCCCTCGTGCCCCGCGCAGGCCTCGACTCAACGAAACCAAGACACAGGGGCTCCGTGCGTTGTCTGTGCAGGTTGTCCTGTTCCACTTAAACGGACTCAAACCTCAACGAAACCAAGACAGCGTGCAACACACTCGTGAAGAACGTGTTCGCTGCTTCGCGGCAGCCTAGATCCAAGGATGACCTCGAGATTCTCGGTGCCAGCCCGACCTGAGAACAGAGCGACACGGTGCCAAGACAGAGAGCAACTTGAGGGTCCCACGGTAGAAGCCGGGGCCAACTGGGCAGTACACCTTTGAGCTCGCAGATGCCAGGCGAGAAAGAAAAATATGAAGAGATGATGAGAGAGCAAGCCAGGCCTGCTCCTTCAACTGCACGTATTCCTCGCGAGGGCGACTCTGCTTTGAATTCTCCTTGAGACAGCCGCTCCTTCATTGGGAATAGCCTCTCCATGGTGGTCGTATTGGTCCCTTGAAACGAGTTGCATGAACAATCAAACAACCATGCTGAAAATCCTAGGATCACGGCTTACCCGCTTGGTTTCAGGACTTGCTGATCTGAGTTTGCTTTGAGCTCTGATCTCTGACAGGTCCGGCGAGTTCTCACCTCGAGATACTACGGTGTCGGAAGGACGTGCAGCCCAGGATGATTCTAAGACTGTACGGGTCGAGATGCTTTAGTTTGCCCTACTTACCGAGATATGCATCGTCCAAAGACGTCGCCTGTTTCAAAAGTCCAGGTAGGGCCACCATGCTCTCACAACGGTCAACGGGGTTAGGGTTCTAGGTCGCTTCTGCTGCTGCATGCGCGGACCCACCCGGCAGCATGCAATCGCAGTGTCTCAAAGGATGTTAGCTGCTCCTCCTGGATCTGGCGAACCCGCTTCTATTTGGATGCTGCCGTCCACAATCTCAGCACAGTAACCCAGGCACGCTGTCTCTGCTTTCCTCCACGGAGTGATCGAAATAGTCTGTGCAGCTCTATGCAAGCGATTCCTCGTGCAGCTTGACAACTGAAGAGGGTCCGGAATGCGTGCAGCCTTTTGAGTCCAACCTTCAAACGGTCGGGCATTTTCCTGACAAATCCCCTCAGCTACTAAGCTGGGACTGGACGACACTTCTAATCAAGTGACACACATCCTGAGCTGAGGCAGGAACATGCCAGGTGCAGGGCTGGCGTGCCGGTGGCTGCGACAGCAACCATGGCGATGATGCTCGCACCCTCAGTCGCTTCTCCTCCCTCGCATCTTTTGCACAGCCGAGGATGTTGCGAGCTGCACCAGGATGGTGATGCCATTGCGGTGAAGCACCTCTCATGCGGCCAAAGACAACTCGGACCGATCTCCGCAGGCCCTCGGAAACCTTCCAGATCCTCCAAACCCTGCGGCCTCCATCAGCGCCGACAGCAGCAAGGTGTTCAAGCCTGGTTCCGCAAAAAGCCCAAAGGCAAAAGGTACAGCGACGCCATGACACGACGCACATGGCGACAAAAATGCTGCAGAGGCACCGCTGATCATGTGCGTCTGCTGGCCGATCCTGAATGCAATTCAAGTACCGGTTTCGTCCGCGACACCAAGAGCATAGGAAGGCCGAGGGCAGAGTGCAAGACACTTCAAGACACAGGCCGTGACACTGCGCGGGAGTCTGTAAGCAGGAAGCAAAGCCGCAAAGGAAGCACTTCGTCTGGAACATGCTTCAGGACACGAGGCCACGTGTTGTTCCTGGCTTAATTGATTTTGATCCGCTTTGACGGTCTGTGTTGATCCTTCACTCCACTTACCGGGAGGGCTCACGAAACTTGGCGTCGCACAAACTGCACGCTTTCATTTGTCTCCCTGCCCTTCCCTTAGCTTCGGCCTGTTCGAGATCCTGTGACTGAGACCTCAACAGAGTGCTCCTAAAACAAACACCTGTTGCTTTTTGCAGCTATCTAAGATTTAGCTGTTCCTATGGCGAGAAACGATGGACACGACAGCTTCTGCGAGACCAACAAGACAAATCAAACGAGGACTTAGTCCAACAGGAAGGAGAGAATGTATAGCAGCAGAGATTATATATCACAGCAGTACCAAAGCCACGCTGGCTTTGTGCGGGTCAAAGTAATGCTAAGCCAGTAACCACCGCTGGTTCTCGTAAAGCTTGGCGCCCTCAAAACAGCATGGGCTGAGCCCCTTTACACCAAGCGAGATGACAAAGCTCCCCACGGCAGTTGAGGTGAAGCGTGAGAAGTAGCCCGCTCTGTAGACAGCCGCGAAGCACCTCGCCAACAGGCAGGAGCACGAGTGGTAGCGCAGCACGTCAAGGCCCGAAACTTTGCTCAGTGCGAGGCAGCACCAACGAATACGACAAGCCAAGAAACCTGAATGCGTTGACCAGCCCTGTAGCTCTCAGCCACAATTCTGTCGCAGAGTGACGAGAAAACGTAGAAGAGAATGAAGTGGCCGTGGTTTCTCCTTGGTTTTTATACACAGACCGATTCAGCTCGTGCTGGACCACTGAGGCAAGAGCAGGCCGATGCAGTTCCCAGTAAAGGGACAGTAGTGATCCATGCCTTCCCAAGCGACTCACAACACCGAGCTGCTGTGAGAGTCTAGGATCAAAAATGTCTTTTTTTTGTCAAAATGTCTTTTAGGGTTTGGT